TAAAAAAGTTTTATAATATTTATTGGGTTTTTTTAGTTATTTTGTAAAGAAAATTTATTTATTTAATACTTTTTTATTGTTGTAAAAATTAGAAAAATAAAAAATATAAGTTTATGATATAATTGTAAAATATAAATTTATTTATTTAATAATTTTTATTGTTGTAAAAATTTAAATAATCAAAAATATAAATTTATGATATAATTGTAAAATATAAGTTTATGATATAATTGTAAAAGTATAAGTTTATTTATTTAATTATATTTTTACTATTATTAAATTAAATTGTAAAATATAATTGACATATTGATTTTTTTTATTTATATATATAATCTAAAAACAAACCTATTTTAAAATATTTAGCAAAGGCTTGCAAAAATGTTTTTTAAAAATAATAATATATTTTATTACTCCATACAATTTAAAGGCTACTATGAACTCCATACAATTTAAAGGCTACTATGAACAAAAACGGCAAGTCACACAATTTATGTCAAAATATTTTTTAAATAAATGATATTTTTTAATCAAAAACAATTGTTTAAAAATTTGAAATATAAAATAAATAAAAAGTTTAACAAATTTTGATAAACATATAAAGAGGTGAGTATCAAACCCACGTCGCTTTTCACATGAGTTAGAGTAATTTATCATTTGGACAATAACATTAACTGTTATTTATATGAAACAAAAGTTACGTATAATTTGTTAATTACTCTTTTCACATAATAACTTGGTTTTGCTATTTTGATTCCTACACGCTCAGATTGTTGAAACCTATATTTCATACCAAAATCGTATCTCAGATTGAAATTGCTTCAACATATCATAGCCCAAAATCACTTCCAGATTGAAATCGCTTCCAGGTTCTGTATTTTCTCTCTTCATTGTATCCCTAATTTCTTCAACAAATCATAGCTTCTGATTGCTCATCGTATTCGGTTTGTCTCTCTATTTCTTCATCAATTTTCCTTAGCTTGTTATAGAATCTAAAATTCTTTATGGCTTTCACTTTTCACTTATTCTCCAAAGTCGTAGTATTAGTGTTTTTGATTTTGGATTTCTTAGCTATTGATTTGCTTGGCATCAGGTTTTTTTTATGACTTCTAGTTGTTTGATGAAATGCACAACTTAAACAAAACTTCATTTGTCTCCTGAGTCAGAAGTTCTATTTACTTTGCAATGTTACTTCTCATTTGTAATAGTTGTTTGCACTATGTTCATATGTGGGTGTTGTAAATGTAGACATAGAAATATTTTATCCATTTTCCACAACGTCGGGCTGTGAAATTAGTGTGTGGGTGCGTGCTTGGTAATAGTGGAAACTACAAGGAAGAAAACAATTCACACTTTGGAATTCCACTCCATTGTTCTGAAATTTCTCTACCATTTTTAATGCTATATGGTTACTTTTTAGAGTTTTCTAATAGTTATCCATTCAAAATGCAGAGACTGGTTGCAATCTCAGGATGTGGCCATCTACCCCACGAAGAATGTCCTAAAGTGTTGCTTGCAGCAGTATTACCCTTCATCGGTAAACTATGCTCTGTATATAACTCGGATAGTCAGTAGGTCATATTTTTCTTTCAAAATTTCATGATCCTTATAATTATTAACAAATTTCCAATTTCCATTGAATTTTTTCCTAACCCTTTCAGCATTGTGTATCTTTACTCGTGTTTCTAATAAGACCACAATAGGAAGTACTATAATAAATTGTAATTATGGAGTATCTTTACTCGTGTTTGATAGAGGTTAATACAATCAATTGTTATTCTTGCAGGTTGAAGTACAAATTTGAACTCATTTTCGGTACCGAGCAAAGCTATTGATTTTGAAATCTCAAGGTAGGTATTACTTTATGACTTAAATATGTTCCTATTGCTTAAGTATTAAAATAGAAAATTTCAAGGTAGGTACTACATTTACTTGACTTGTAGATAACAATCACCTAGAATATGTTAGGCTTATTATGGCGATCCTTCGCCTTCTTGTATATATAGTTCATATCTGCATTATATCAATCTAAGAAACATTTATCATATTTTATATCTTCAAGTTCAACTCCAAATTAGATATGAGCTTCTTCTTTACAAATAATGCAGTAAACAGTAGGTGGTGAGTTTTCGTTAAAAGGTGTCACTGCATTAAACAGTATCATGTGTATGTTAGCAAACAAGAGTAATCAACAATAAAAACTCACTCCAGTCCAGTTAAATAATGCAGTAAACAGTATCAGGTGAAAATGGTTTGTAAAGTATATATTGAAATATCCAAAAGTATTTAGAAGAGATGGTAAGACAATTTTTTAGCTTTACTAGAGTTATGAGTTTATGCCTAACTTTTGACACGTGGTAATGAGAGTTTTTGGTTTTTGTGGTTAATATTTATAGTTGTAAATTTTAAATTTAAATGGTTAACACTAGAGATTTTGTATTTGGAAAACAAATTGAATTTTTGAAGTATTATATTTTTTTAAAAGAATTAAAAGAGTAATTTATTTATTTTTAATTTAATAATGCTTACAATTTACCAAACTAACACAGATCAGAGACTCAAGTCAGTGTATCACAGCATTTAAAAAATTGTTGATGAGTCAATTCTGACCATTAAATATACAGATTTATATGGGACGAGTCAAAGGAGGTTGGCTATTCCGCTTAATAATTTACAATTATAGATTTATAGACTAGTTTATATATATATATATATATATATATATATATATATATATATATATATATATATATATATATATATATATATATATATATATATATATATATATATATATATATATATATATATATATATATATATATATATATATATATATATATATATATATATATATATATATATATATATAAGTATTTTTAGAAGGTGTCAAAGAGTTTATAAACTTCGCTTGTCAACAGAAAGAGTATTTGAAGAATGGTTTAATAAGATGTCCATGTAAGTTGTGCAAAAATGAGGACCACCTCACCCTAGATGAGGCAAACACTCATATTCACCAACATGGGTTTGCACCAGAATATTGGAATTGGACCTGCCATGGAGAGATAATCCCTCACATCAATGATAGTGATGATGATAGATATCAAGACATGGTGTTTGATGTTGCCGGTTTTAATCGCGAACAACATTTTATACAACAAGAAGAGGAACCTCCAAATATGGAAGCAAAATTATTTTATGACATGTTGAATTCAACTCAACAACCATTGTGGTCGGGATGTAAAAACACAACTGAGTTATCTGCTGTTATTAAGATGTTGAGTTTAAAATCTAAACACAATATGTCATAAGCATGTTTTGATGACATGGTCAAGTCCATGAAGGAATCAAGTCACCCAGAGAATGTAATTCCCTCTAACTTTAGGGAAACAAAAAAACTTGTGTCTGGACTCGGTTTATCAAAGATAAAGATTGATTGTTGCATTGGTGGGTGTATGTTGTATTACAAAGAGGACATAAATTTGAATGAGTGCAAGTTTTGCAATGAGCCTCGATACAAAACACGTATTCTGCGTAAGCGTAAGCGAAACTCTAAAGATGTTCCTCGCAAGAGATTGCATTACTTGCCTTTAATCCCTCGCCTTCAAAGATTATATGCTTCGGCGAGATCCGCAGAGCACATGAGGTGGCACTATGAACATTGTAACACCTGAGGTGAAAGAGGACGGTGGTTACATGTAACACCCGTGGGCGAGGGAGTGGTTGTCGGTGTCATGAGGCATCACAATGGGACACTCCTAGCAGCTTATAGGGGAAAACTGAATTCACATGCGAATGAGAGGATCCTGAGGCTATGCACGTATGGGACTGCATGGTTGAATGAAGGCTTATAAGGATTAATTGGTACTACCTATACCAACAAGATGCATCTTCTTTTCGGTAGCCCATTCATAAGAACCCCACAGTTAAGCGTGCTTGACTTGGAGCAATTATGGGATGGGTGACCTTCTGGGAAGTTTCCCGGAAAGCGTGTGAGTGAGGAAAAAGCATGCTGAAAAGACCCGTGTTGGTTTGTGGGGTCAGTCGGTAATCCTAAAAAGCAATATGGGGGCATTACAAATGGTATCAGAGCCATACCTCTCCCAGTACGATGTGGTTCAGGGACGAACCAAGCGGAAGTTGGTGGGCATGTAACACCTGAGGTGAAAGAGGACGGTGGTTACATGTAACACCCGTGGGCGAGGGAATGGTTGTCGGTGTCATGAGGCATCACAATAGGACACTCCTAGCCCCTTCTAGGGGAAAACCGAATTCACATCCGAATGAGAGGGATCCTGAGACTATGCATGTATGGGACTGCATGGTTGAATGAAGGCTTATAAGGATTAATTGGTACTACCTATACCAACAAGATGCATCTTCTTTTCGGTAGCCCGTTCATAAGAACCCCACAGTTAAGCGTGCTTGACTTGGAGCAATTATGGGATGGGTGACCTTCTGGGAAGTTTCCTGGAAAGCGTGTGAGTGAGGAAAAAGCATGCTGAAAAGACCCGTGTTGGTTTGTGGGGTCAGTCGGTAATCCTAAAAAGCAATATGGGGGCGTTACAAACATCGTAGGGAAGAAGGTGTGTTGGGAAGAAGGTGTGTTGTGTCATCCTTCAGATGGGGAAGCTTGGAAACACTTTGACCAAGTATATCCTGCATTTTCTTCGGAACCTAGAAATGTTAGACTTGGTTTGTGTGCTGATGGCTTTACCCCTTTTGGCCAATCTGCAAAACCATATTCTTGTTGGCCAGTAATTGTCACACCATATAACCTACCTCCTGAGCTATGTATGATGATGCCTTATATGTTCTTGACCTTGATCATTCCAGGTCCAGACAATCCAAAAGGTAAAATTGATGTGTACTTGCAACCGTTGATAGACGAATTGAAACAATTGTGGAATGATGGTGTAGTAACATATGATGCATCAAAGAAGCAAAAATTTTGATTGAGAGCTGCACTAATATGGACAATAAATGATTTCCCTGCCTATGGGATGTTGTCTGGGTGGAGTACTGCAGGAATATTTGCTTGTCCAGTATGCAAGGGAGGTTTAAAAGCTTTCTCATTGGAAAAAGGAAAAAAGAGATCTTGGTTTGATTGCCACCGTCAATTTTTACCTCGTGATCACGCTTTTAGAAGAAATAAGGTTATGTTTTACAAAAATAGAATTGAGACAAGGGAGCCTCCTCCAAGGTTAAGTGGTGAACAAGTGTGGAAATAGGTTTGTGGGCTTCCTAAAGTAACTAACATGCGGAATTGCATTGTTCCTGGTCCTGGAATTTCACACAATTGGACCAAAAGAAGCATATTTTGGGACTTGCCTTATTGGAGACACAACTTATTGAGGCACAATCTTGATGTTATGCATATAGAAAAGAATGTCTTTGAAAATGTTTTTCATACAATTATGGACAACAAAGAGAAAACTAAGGACAACGAAAACGCAAGATTGGACTTGGAAAAGTATTGTCATATAAGAGAGTTGTTGTTGAAAAAAAATTCTAATGGGAACTATATGAAACCCAAAGCCAAATATTGTTTATCGAATGAGCAAAAAAATGATGTGTGCGAATGGGTGAAAGGATTGAAGATGCCTGATGGTTATGCTTCTAATTTGGGTAGATGTGTAGATTCAAAGCAAAAGAAACTCTTTGGTATGAAAAGCCATGATTGCCATATTTTTATGGAATGTCTACTTCCAATAGCTTTTAGTGCTCTTCCCAAACCAATATGGAAGACCTTAACCGAGCTTAGTCAATTTTTCAGAGACTTGTGTTCAACAGTGTTGCGAGAAGATCATTTATTACAAATGGAAAAAAACATTCCTTTGATATTATGTAAGATGGAGCGTATATTTCCACCCGCATTGTTTGACTCTATGGAGCACTTGCCAATTCGTTTAGCTGATGAAGCTAAGATGGGTGGACCAATTCAATATCGTTGGATGTATCCGTTTGAAAGATTTTTAAATAAAATTAAAAAAACAGTAAAAAACAAAAGAAATGTGGAAGGGTGTATCTGTGAAGCATTTTGGTGCAAGAGACATCCTATTTCAGTTCCCATTATTTTTTGCCTCCTGATCAATACTCGAGTGTTATTGGCATAAACAAGGGGATTCATCAAGACCATATGCAACCAACTTTGTCTATCTTTGAACATTTGAATGGCCAAACAGCGGGAACATATTGTGAAAGGTGGCTCGAGGATAGAGAAATGGAAGCTGCACAACTACACATTATCTTAAATTGCAAAGAGGTTAAGCCATTTATTGAGTAAGTATTGAGCAATAAATATATCTATATTTTATTAAACTAATAATGACATTAATTTTTAATAATATCTTATGTAGTATGTATGTCCAAAGTTTGAAAAGTATGTATGGGGATGTCAATGACGATATCATTGATAAACAACTAGAAGCTGACTTTCCACGCTGGTTTCAAAAATACGTAAGCATATTTATAAAGTTTTCAATTCTAGGATATTTGGGCTAGAATGAAGATGTAGAATTTGCTTTTAAACTAAGATGTATGAATTGATTTATTTGGCTAGGTGACGATGAATTGCAAACATAAGAGACAAAATTCTGACTTGTATGATTTGGCAAGGGGGCCTTTGAGACTAGCGAAATCTTGGCCTATTTATTTTGCAAATGGATACAAATTTCACACAACTTCTTGGGGTGAAGGAAAAACAACCTATAACAGTGGGGTGTGTGTTAGTGGAATAGGACAAGATGAAACTTCAAATGACTATTATGGCATTCTTACAGAAATTCTAGAATTTCAATGGCCAAGTCAAACAACAAAAACGTTATTTTTATTTTACTGTGATTGGTTTGACCCTTCAAGACATGGGATGCGAATACATCGTCAGTACAAGATTGTAGAAGTTCGTAAGGGGAGAAAATATAGTAAATTTGATCCTTTTATTTTTCCAAAAGCTGCAACTCAAGTTTATTATTCACCTTATCCTGGGCGCCCAAGAGATAAGGTTGATTGGTTGGTAGCTATAAAGACAAAGCCAAGAGGGGTTGTTGATGATAGGCACACATTAGAGGTTGCTTTTCAAGTTCAAGAGTCACAAGTTAATGCAACAATTGAAGATGACCCAATTGATCTCCTACAAGATGATGAAGTTAATGGTGAAGAGGTTAGTTTGTCAACAATACAAGAAAATGAAGATGAAGAGGATTCCAATGACGATGATGAAAATTTTTAAACATTTACTTGACTTGTAGACAACAATCACCTAGAATATGTTAGACTTATTATGGCGATCCTTCGCCTTCTTGTATATATAGTTCATATCTGCATTATATGTCAAAATTACGATGGATAATACAAGGAAGAAAACAAAATATTAATTGTCATGAATCATATGAAACTTTGTCATTCTGTAGCTTAGGGATGTAATCTACAAGGAAGATTTTATTAGTCATATTAAGAGAATAAATGAATGAAGAACCCCTATTTTCAATGGTCGTATTAAGAGAATAAATGAAAATCAGTACTAAGCACGTACCATATAGCTGAATCTTTAGATGGTCGTTGTAGTCTTTTTGACTGATCACCAATCCACTCTTTCCTCATTTTATTCCATGTTATCTCAGCTGCATGAGAACAAGAATATAGTTGAAAATATTCTAAGAGGCCTAAAACTGGACTGCATTTGACAGGGGGAAAATCAATCATTAAGAAGAGTCTCACATAAGTCAACATCAAAATACAACAATTTTTAAAAATATATTTCATATTATCATGACTCATGGCTGCTTGTTTAAAGCAACTTCAGAGCATGTTTAAAGCTAGTATTCAACTGTTGTCCTCTTGATATTCTTGATGCATTCACCTATAGTCCCATTTTCTTGAAGTTCATAATTCTTGCCATAGCAGAAAAGAATGAGAATAATAAGATGGTATCAACTTGGTTATCTTCTCATAGAAATACTTGTTTCATGGATGATATAGCAAGTGACTCAATAATATAAAATGTTGTTGAGTATTGTAGAAGTTATGGTAGTAGACATAATGGTTTCTACAAGGAACTTTTGATTTTCTTAGCTCGACATTTCTTCGGGGAAATACCGAGATATTAAAGTTGCTGATGATTACGTATCTGTTATGTCACTTACATTGAAAATCCAAGTTAGTCTTCTTGTTCTGTTGTATGGTGGGACTATAAAGGTATAGTGGTTCAATTGTTTGCTGAAATGACTGAACTAAAAGGGTGAATCTTGTTGCATTTTTCTTTGATAGGGGAAAAAGCTCTTCAAGACAAGTATTAATTTGAATATCTTGATTTGTTACTGTTATCTGGTAATATGTAGGCAGGGTGGATTGTGAGTTTTTATTATTAAGAGTTTTTTTTATGTTCTTAAGGGGATATATTTGGTTATTAGAGAAGTGGGGTTGAACATTGCCTTATATTTTGCATTGATGGAAGTTGTTATTGTTGAAATTTGGTTCTGATTTCCAATCTTGGTATATTTATTAATCTAATTTTTGTTTTTGTTTTTTCCAGCCTAGTCACTTTAACAGTAACAAATCAAGATATTCAAATTGGTACTTGTCTTGAAGAGTTTTTACTTTATATCAGCTTAGCTCTAAATACATTTAATTGTTCTACTTTTGCCTTGCATTTTGCAGTAGAAGAATGGAGGAAGCTGTCATTATTGAACACCAACATAACACTCTGACAAAAGTAGCTGCATAGACATATCAGAAGAAGAAGAGAGGACCATAAGTAAAGTATGATACATAATTCATACTCTTTTTATTATTCTGAGCAGATATAATTTATATAAAGAACCTTGTCTTTCTTAGGCATGCAGCACATAACTCATTAATCTATTTACCATTCATAAAGCAATTACCAATATTATTTTGTTACTAATATTATTTTGATTTTTCACTCTTATTTTTTAGGTTTTGTATTTCTTTAAATTCTTCCAAGATGAAGTCACTTAAAAAGTCCAAGAAGAAGAATTATGGAAAATGTTATATATCTACTCAACATGAAGTCATCCAACCCCAACCTCTTCCTCATCTTATTCAACCCCAACTTACTCAACCTCAACTCACTCAATCTAAACACCAACCTATTCCTCATCTCATTCAACCTCAAATCCAACCTATTCCTCATCTCACTCAACCTCAACTCACTTAATATCATACTTAACCTCAACCCCAACCTATTCCACATTCAAGTAGGCCTCAACTTACTCAACTCCGACCACAACCACAACCTATTCCACATCCAATTCGACCTCAACTCACTCGACCACCATCTAGATCTATATCCCAATCATATTATTCTCAACCTCAACACAATCAACCTCAACCTCAAAATCAACCTCGTCCTCAATCCACCCAATTTCACCCTTTACAAACTCAACCCCAACACAATCAACCTCAACCTCAACCTAAGCAATCTCGTCCTCAATCTCACCCTTTACAAACTCAACCCCAACACAATCAACCTCAACCTCAACCTAATCAACCTCGTCCTCAATCCACCCAATCTCACCCTTTACAAAATCAACCCTAACACAATCAACCTTAACCTCAACCTAATCAACCTCATCCTCAATCCACCCAATCTCACCATTTACAAACTCAACCCCAACACAGTCAACCTCAACCTCAACCTAATCAACCTCAATCTCAAAATCAACCTCAATCTCGACCATTCCTTCTCAACCCAATCAACCTCAATCACAACATCGATCTCGACCCATCCCTTCTCAATTTATGGTCGTTGAAGCCCCATCTTCATCTAGCCATGCTAGTGGAGACACCGTTGGAACTAGAATCCCAATAGTTCCCGAAGGTGATGGGTGAGTCTCTTACTCGTATATAATAGCTAATAAAAGATACTATATTTTATATGTAACATTACTTTCTCCATTTAAGTAATATTTGTTTTTTTTTTTAAATGTCTCTTTTTTAGATTTGATCATCATAAATTGGTAGTTTCAGAAATTGCTCACATCATACGTACTCATTTGAATGAGGGAAAACCGTCATGGAAGAAATTATCAAAAGAGCAACGAGATTCTTTCTTTGATCTATTTAAGGTAATTAAATCTAAAGATGAGGCTTCATGTTAGAAGCATATTGAAATATTAAGTAATTGATTCATGTTTTTTTGATACAGCAAAAGTTTACATGGCCACCCGAGCACAAGGTTACAGTGCGACGTAACTTTGAAAAAAGAAGTGCAGCTAAGATGTCTCAATTAATGCCAAATGTTCTGAGAGATTTAGAGTATAGGCCGGAATGGATGGGAGAGAAGGTGTGGAAGAAACTAACGGTACATTGGAACTCCTCCAAGTTCAAAAAAGTATCTGCAACAAATAAAAGAAATCGTTGTTCTATGGATGGTGTATCTCTTCACACTGGAGGATCTATTCCTCATGGTTTGCATTGGAAAATAATGGTATTATAATTTTTCTTTATATTTCTTAAATTAGTATTTTTAATAAATGACATTATTATTTTGTAATTGATAGAAAAAGGAAAAGGGTGCTGATGCATCATTGACTGAATTTTATTTTTGCACTCATCGAAAAAAAGATCAAAGTTGGGTGGGTGTTCACGCTGAATCTGCATATGTAAGTACTCCGAATCAATTTCTTAAAGAATGAATCTTAGAAAGTGTAAATCATACCTTCATTCTTTTTTTTCTGTGTTTTGCAATTTACAATCAAATCAAATAAAAATATGTTGGGAAATTGGTTAGAGTTAATGTTAGCAACGAGCAATTATGAGTTTCTCCTGTTAATGTTATGTGAATGAATTTCTAGTTAATTTAGTTGAATTTTTATTATGACGATTAGCACTAGTTTGGAATTGCCTGTTAAAATATTAATTACTTATTATGTTTTTTTAAATCTTCTTTCAGGATGAATTTGAAAGGAAAAAGTTGATGATTTCTTCTCAAAATTCAACTGTTCCAGGAGAGGATGAAGCTGATAGTCAACCTACTGTTGAAATGCCGTCTGATTTGGATATATGGGTGGAGTCATTTGGAAAGAAGAAAGGGAGGGTATTTGGTCTTGGAACCATTGCCAAGACTCTTGTTCCATCATCAACTCAACCAAGTCTTTCGAGTAACTCTCAAGAGGTTGATGATTTGAGAAGTCAAGTCCATGCTCTCAATGCATCATTGTAAAGACAAGAACAAGAGAAGTTGGAGATGAAGCAACAATTGCAATGACAAGAAAAAGAGATGATTGAAACGAACAATAAACTTTCATTGTTAATGAATCATTTAGGATTTGCTGCATCTTCTTCTCATCCACCTCAAGCCAATAATGAAATTGATAATCAAAGTGAAGATGATGTTGATGAATCAGATGAAGACATTAGTGAACACATTAGTAGTGAATTTTGATTTGGATTACTTTTTCTTGTTAATTAGTTTGAAATTGCATTATTTTTTCTTATTAATTTGGTTGGACAAGTGATAATTAGTAACTTGATTACGACATTTTTAGTAATGTAACTCTAGAAGTACTTATTATTGACTTGAAAAATTTGAATGTGATTAGTGTTGCATTGACTTATTCAAATTAGATTTTTATTTTTATATTATTGTTACTTTGATATTTAACATTAATTATATTATTTTAAATATGAATTAAATACAACTAAAAATAAAAACTAAAAACATGAGCGAACTTACCTGCAAAGTTACCCGCGGATTCTCAATTTGTTGCGACGTTACCTGCGAATTTAGCTGTTATACCTACGACTTTTTCCTGCGACATTTTCTTGTGACCTTTTCCTGCGACTTTTTCCTGCGAATTTACCTGCTAAATGAATTACCCACGAAGGTTTTAGCTGGAAACAAACAATCGCAGGAAAAATCGCAGGTAACATGTTTCCTGCGAAAATTTGGTCAGAATCCGCAGGTAAATCCGCAGGAAAATTGAACATTTCTAGTTGTGTGACAGAAAACCAAAACTGAGAGAAATTTAAGTAGATATTGTTACAACAAGTCACTGCTCATGAGATCTGTTAACCTTTATATAAATTTATCAAACTAGAAAATTAGAGAATTTAAAAATTAAAAAAAAAAAGCATTTCACCATCGAATGATAGACACAAGATATCAGGTGAGCATTCGTCAAGTCTGTTTGCTAAAATAAATAAAAAAAGTTTTTACTTTTTACGTTTTTTATTCATATTAAAAAAAAACTTTGTTTGATAATTGTC